AGGTCTGATTTATAGAACGGGCCCGATCAGATCAGCTGGAGATCCCCTCTTGTCTAACCTGACAGGGGACATGCATCACAATAAATCAGACGAAGAAGACTAATCTGCAGCAATGGAGATTTTGAGGGGTGCAGATGGTCGCCGAGTCAGACGCAGGGCAGTATGTGCTAACATGCGGTAAGGCCAGTCAAGATCCCCTTGAAAGGAATGCCCTTGCTGTCCGTATGTCCCCCAAATCCAGCACAGCAAAGAAATGCACAGGCGGCAACAGATCTGGGCCCAAAAGGTCCTGTCCCGTTGGGCCTGGTCCCACTGGGTCCCGAAGGTCCCAAGTAGTTCGTGGACAAGGTCTAACGAGACAGGGGTACCAAGTCAGTCCCAAACTGTCTCTACCGTACTGAAAAGGAAAAGACAACTTTCAGCAAGAACTAGCCCCTACAGCCGTTCAGAATTGAAAAGACAATGCACCGTAGAAAGATATGTCATTTAGCACAGATACATCATCCATCCATCCATCAGGTGAGAAAGCAATCCACATGCTCACACACACAACCAAGACCGCAGAGAAGAGGAAGAGAACCCAGCACACCCCCAACAGGCCATGAAGCACCAAGCAACCTCCCACGGGCTTACCCAGGTCACACGACACTTACCTGTGAGGCCCGGCCTCCAAAGATGGATAACGAGTCACTCCCCTCTCATATAAGTCCTCCTGACCCCTAGCTACCACTACACGAAGTGTCCTAGCATGACTAAGAGGGCCTTCCTACACCCCCGTTGCAAAGCCGGATCCCCCGTCGATGCCTGAAGACCAAAGTAGCAACTTGCAGCAATCCGATGCAGATATGGCAGCCTCCGATCAAGTCTCCCTCTTGAGGGGAAGCCCAAAAGTCACTCAATGTCTTCCTGAAGTCCAGATTCCAGGTGCGAGTACCTCTCACTCTCTACTCCCTCTGGCTTACTCCAAACAGCCTCCTTTGTGTCTCGCCACCCCATATATTCACTCAAGCAACCTGGTTGGGTCCAATGTCGACCCTACATGACCTAACCAGGTGGGGGCAGCATCCCCATACCTCGCTGCCCCTGATTCGGAATTAGGGTTAGGGTGACTAACACCTCTCGCCAGCAAGTAAGTCCGCTCCAATACCAATTGTTACGATCCTGGTCATTTCCCAAGTGCAAATTCACAATGAAAGACAATGCCACCCAATTGCGAAAGAAATGAAAGCACTTGCAAAGAGATAAAGACCAGAGGAGGGGCAAAGAAGAAGAAGAAGAAGAAGAAGAAGAAGTAGAAGTACACCAGCAAGACCAATGACAATTCCCCCTTCTCTCTCCACCTTCCTCCTTCCTCCTTCTCTTCACCAATCTTATTCTTCTCTCAATAATAATAATAACAATGAATGGATGAACCAGAATCAATGTCCGAAGTTCCCTCTTACTGCTGACTCAACTCACAACAACAATCAACAACAACAAGTCCACCATGGCTATGGCTTCCCTCCTTCGACCTCCTCTCTCATGCATAGGCCATGGCGGACTACTGGGAGGCAGCTATGATGCTGCCCTGATGTCCAGAAGACAACCCAAAGCAGCTATGCCGCTGCTTGACYTGGTCCGCTATGCCTGACTCTGCCTCGAGCTGCCCTGGTGCAGCGCTACCCCAACTGGGGCCTTCCAGATGCAGCGCCCAACAAGGTGATGAAGACGATGTCCACCATAGCCAGGTAAGTGCCCTACCACTCTCCTACCATGCCCCCTTCTTCCTCCTCCTCAAGCTGGGGTGCTCGCCATAGCCAGGCTG